TTAACATTACCGCTAACTATAAAGGCCTGTTGATATATTATTAAAAGCTTTATCTCGAACTTGCCTCTCTGAGGCCCATACACTTTTCGTCTACATACCATAGGCCTTTAATTTCTCGCTAATGGCCCATGTACTTCCCATTTACATATACAGAGTAGGCTTCGCACTTTGAAGACTGTGTGCAGATCTAAAAGACAATAAATCATTCGACTTAACTGCAAAAAAGTTTTTAAGCTTTAATAGTAAAACATATGAGGTAAGGTTAGCAGAAATTCTGTACACTGTATTTGTTTTTATATAAACCTCTCTACGCACTATCGAATTTGATGTGAAACAATTTGTGTGATATGCCCTTATGTGGTCATACTGATGTCATATTACACCCAAATATGGTCATATCACATTAATTTGTCATATGAAATTTGATAGCTTTAGGTCTATGAACTGTGATGACAAAAAAAATGAATGAAAAATATTATATTTATATAACTTGTCAATAGTTTATTCATTGCTTCTCTTTCTGTTGTCATGGTCTTTGTGTTTAAAAGTGAATGTGTAAACTATAAAATGTGTCAGCAATTGAAATTTTAAAAATAACAAAAAACAAAAAAATTGATGCAGGCCCCAAAAAATGGTGATGAAGGGGATCAGGAAACAAGGAATTTTTTTTATTTGGCCTTATATTTAACAATATAAGAAATGACAACAGCACTTTTAAGACTAACTTCTATAAGATTTATTCTCTAGCTTTTATCCACACAGTGGACTTCATCAGGAGACTGTACAAATGGGGTAGAAACATCTATTTAAATAATACAGCAGAGATAAAAGGGGATGCACTACAACAACAAAGTATGCAAATGCATATTTAAGTTTATTATATTTTATTATATTTAAGTAGCTTTCAATTGAAAACTAAATAGGAAAGAAATACTTCCCATAATTAATAAAATATACCGGTATCTCATAGAAAGATTTAACTCATGAATATTAATGAGTTCTTTGAAAATTGCTATCAAGCAAATGAAAAAGAATGAACTTTGAGGTTAATGTTCTTTGCATATTATAGTGTTAATTTGCGACTTTTTTGTCATTAGGAAGTTCCTGTAAATATGAAAAAAAAAAAACTTCAAATAATGTACAAAAATACAACCTCGTAGTACCGATTCATAGGTAGATGATTAATAAATCTATTAGAAAAGAAGACCGTGGCAAATCCTGGAATTTGAAATAAAGGGGGCCCAGGGTTGATTTTTTTTTGTTGGGATGGTCCAGATTATTTTAAGACCAAGGTAATGTAGGAAATATTGTTTGTAGGTGGCCAAAAATGGCACTCTCAGACATATTTTGAATGTAATTTACTTTTTGTTCTCCATTTTTCATTTAATTCGCCTTTGATTATGAGTATTAATAAGAAATTTTGCAATGATTACCGTTTTCATGTTTTAATTATTATAAAGTGCAAACTGAGGAAGACTTATGGTAATCTGATTTTATTAATACTGCAGCCATGGGAAACATAAAAAAAAAAGTCATCATAGCCTCTATTCACTCTCCGTGGAGTATTTAATGGTCACACATGAGTGAACATTCTTTAGAGACTAATATATTCAACATAGAACACCAACTATATAGACTATACCCTTCTCTAGGGTGGCAAGACACAAACAGATTATGGCTTGCCCAAGGACACTTCTGGCGAAATAAATGAACAACATGGGAATCGATCGATGAACATATAAATGTGCTTGTGAATGAGATAAATTAATCACAAATTGTTCGATAATTGATTGAGAAAGCAATTAGAATCAATTAAAATGCTTCACTAATTAACATTCCTTTCAGTGAAATGAACACTATTAATCAAGCAGTATTCAAAAATCCAAAATTGGAGAAATTGGCAGTCTTCGAATACCGTCATGTCAGAACATGTTTGCAATAATAGGTTTATCTATTTAAAAAAAAAAATTGAAGCGCTGACATCGTCGGCTTAATTTTCATTCACTAACCATCATATAAGTCTGTAGGAATTAAATTTCGCAAAGCACACGCATGTAGAAGAAAGGAAGTCAAGTTTAGGTTTAGTATTTCATGCAAAGTTTGTGTAATTTATGGCAGCATCAACAAGACTGAAGTAGTCATATTAAAGGGGTATTAATTATTTCAATCAAGTTTTTTGCTTGTGATGATGTCACATTTCCAATCAGGTTACAATCCATAGTTGAGGAAATGTATGATGCTTTAGCTAATATTTTGAATGTTCGTTATATGGTGTCAGACTAGAGAAACACTGTGTATTAAATTTTTTTAAAGTAGTTCATGTATTTTGTCTCGACCTCTCTACCCAGGAGCAAGTGGGTACCTGCACAAAATACAAAATGTCCAGATTATAGCTGCAATATTATAGAATTCTCCCCAGGGAACTGAGTATGTGTTTCATGTACTTGATCTAATGAATGGGGCTAATAATGTGAAGCGCATAGAGGCCTTGTTGGCAAGAAGCTTGATCTATGTATGTCTAACATATTATTATTTTGAATTAGAATATGTATAATGATGAAGATGGGGATGATGGTGATTCTGATAGTGGTTTTGATGATGTTAATGATACTTGTTGCTTCTTATCAGAGCACTCTTTCCTACAACTTTCTGGGTACTCACTACCTCGTACGGCGGTCGTGCGACCGTTGTACGACGAATCCAACTTTGTTTCCTGTGAGAGCTAAACGACGCAACAGCTGTCTGCTGATTGTCGGTGGCAGGCTGAATGGATTGTTTTTAGTGACTGTGCGCGCTCGTCATCGCGTTGCTTTCTTCGTGGAATCGCATCGGCCGACAATTGTCAGGCAGAGTGAGTACCCATCTTTAGTGTCATAGAACTCGATGGTGCTGTTACATCTTGTCCACAGAGGAAAAGGTGGACTAGCACGGTGGTAAGGAATAATGGGATATATACTGGGTGATGATAGTGATTCTGATGGTGATGAGATGAGATGATATGATGAGAGTTGAACGATCACTGATTTCCAGGACTTCCATCCAAGCATTGGCGGATATGGGGGTGGGGGGTTCAGGGAATCCTGACTCCCCCTCCCCTTGAGCTGCCAAGCAAAAAAAAATATTCTAGACCTACCTTTTCAGGACCTTAGCAGAAATTGTGTTTTTTAAACCTAAAAATACAAATCATCATGCAAAACTTTAACCCTTATTATTATTATTATTATTATTATTATTATTTATTCGGCATCAATATATACAAAAAAACATACAATGGTAGACTTGAACTACCATTTACTGTACACAAAATCGCAGTGTGTTCTAAAAAGATGACAGGGAAAAGGCCACTCAATCATGCCAGAGAGGGCGCAATATTTGCACTAGTTCCCAACGGTGACAAGTTTTCTGTCCATTCGCAATCTGCTGTGGATGTACCAAAGGTAGGCTTAGCACAGGGCTTAGCACTCAGTAGCTAATACAACTATTTAATTTCTTTTTCTGTATGTATACACGCATAATAAGCCTAGGCCTATTTACTGTATGAATGAGAAAATTTACTGACCGTTTTCAAGAGGGGGAAAACGTTGAATTTTGAAGAACTTAAAAGTTATTAAAAGACACCTCAGAAGTCAGGAAAGCTCATTTCCTGCCATCTAGAAATAAAAATTTTCACAGAGGAGGACCCCCGGACCCTCCTTTCATTTTGGGGATTTGGAAACATTCTGACCCCCCCACCCCCTAAAATTGAGCCCAGATCCGCCCCTGTAGCATTAAATGGTTATAAAAGTGTTCAATTTTGGTGATCTGAACAGGACTGCTGTTTAATAGATGATGATGATGACGGCAACAAGGATAATAATGTCAACAACGATGAGTTTGGTGGGGATAATGAGTAGTGACGATGATGCTGATGATTGTATACTGTTGAAAATGGTAATGATGATAGTGTTTTATTTAATCTATTTATAGGTATTATCTTGTTTTCAAAGCACATTACATTTCAAGATTTGACCAAAAAACAAAATTATTAATTTAAACTAAAAGCTTTATTGTTAATACTTTTTAGAATCATAATCCTTTCTTATAAGCCAAATCAAGTGAAGATTGTACTAGCTAAAATATATCTTGTATGGTCCTTATAATTGTATATCTGGTCAGTTGTAACTTGTGCCTCATTCCTTTCAAGTTTATGTGTCATCATGAGTCACATGTCCATCCAAATCTTCCTGATTATTTCATCATCAACTTGTCTACCTTGAAAAGAAATCACCATTCTCTAAAGGCACCAACTCTTTGAATAATCATAAACCGTTATTAATAATATTTTAATGAGTTGTTATAAATCACCGGAATATTAATATTGATGTCTGTTAATATTTTTAATGTATGCACATACAGAGAGAACATGACATTTACAAGATTAAATACTTTTATGTGAAAATGAGTAATAAAATTGAAATACAATAATAGGAATTTATAAAGCATCTACCACTGTATATTTTTATGATAGTAACATGGACATTTTTAAAAACTGTGTCTTTGTTAATGACATCTGCAGAAGCTGTGTTTTCAGGTTGAAACATGGAGCCATTCCTGATGTTTTACAGCATAAAGTGGCTGTTACAGATCGCCCTTGAGCGAAGAAAGTGCTAGTGTGATTGGAATAACCACCGTTAATTAGGTTTAGCACCACTGGCAGGGTGTCAGAATGCTTATCTGAAGGTCACTGGTTCTATTTCCTGCAGCTGCTCATATTTTTCCTCTGTTCCACTTACAGTATTTTACATGGTGTTGATATTATGGTAGTGAGAAGGGCATAGTGATGATAACGTGATACAGTAGCAATAGTTATAAAAACATGATAGTGGTAAAAGTGATAGGATGATAACATGACAATATTGACCTGGCAGAGATAACATGATAGTCGTAATGACATAATGGTGATGACTTGATAGTTGTGATAACATGAAAAAGATGATAATATGATATGGTGATGGGATCATGAAATGATATTGTAGTGATAATGAAGTGGAAGGGATTTTGATTGAGGGTGGGGTCGGATGGTCGTGCGGTAAGACTAGCTACAGCCTTAACCTCAACACTGGTTCCAGCCGCCCAGGGTTCTCCCTGGTCGCCCAGGGTTCGGCTGGTAGAACCAATTCTTCTTGTATAAGGACTAGGAATGGAGTGTAAAAACTGGCTTGTATACACTTTAAAGAACCATTGCATCTTTTGGAAGGGTAGGGAGTTACCCTGTTGGAATGGTTCATTTCAGCCTCTGTCATTGTGGAATGATGTGAACATGTACCTACTATAAGGGCCTCTTTATGCTGGCTAGGTGGTCACGGACATGCCAATACTCAATTCAGCACAATGACGCTGCATGTTATGGGTTATTCTACCTTTTTACCCTTTACCTTTTGTTGGCATCATGATAATATGGGATAATAACATGATAACTAATGACATTATTGAATGAAGGTAGATATTGCATAAAAAAGCTAATGTCATGTCATACAAAATCAACCAATCAAATGACTGGGATCTATTAAAGAGTGTTATAATAACATAACTGATGACATTATTGCATGAAGGTAGATATTGCATGTCTAATGTCTCATAAAACTTTTTATTTTTATCTGTTTATGTATTTTGTTTATATCCTGTAACATTATTAACACGTTGGCTGCCAGCGACGAGTATACTCGCTCACAGGGTGTTGCTGAGGACGCCAGGAACGAGTATACTCGTCAAATCGGGGGAAACATTCTAGCGTTTATAATTTCTTTATTATACATTGTAGAACCACAGACTCAACGGCTGGTAGTTCGGGGAAGATACACTTAGACGATAACGTACAAATGACATATGTATGTCTGTTGTGTTATGTTGCCGGTAGTACACTCGAGCGGTACAAGTGGGGGCGCCCTTTGAACATATACCAACCCATGCAAAAAGCGGACGAGATAACTCGCACTTGGCATAGTCAGTAAAAAGTTCTATCACAGTGCCATCGACGAGTATACTCACCCCCTAATATTTTCCCGCCAATTTATTAGACACTTCATTTTGATGACATATGACTAGATAAAATTTCGAAAAAGTATGTTTGTACATGTAAACTTGTTTTGGCACACGGGAAGGAACCTTAAAAAAGGTCTGGCAGTCAACGTGTTAAACCTATACTCTATAATTTCTCTGGACTTTGATGGATGTAACACACAAATTATTGGTGCAATAATCAGTACACTGCAGTTTCTCTAGTTTAAGCTCATTCTACTTGAAATTAAATTAGTGGGTGAGCCTCTGATGAATGAGAGCATGTCCCATCACCGACCATAATATTTGACATAAATCATACTACCTTATTCAGATCTGATGTTTGCAGACATGCTTTTTCTGTACACTTAATACAGTAAATGAATGGAACTCACTACCAAATTTTGTTGTGTTTGCTAAATCTATAAATCTGTTTAAAACTTACTTGCAAAGGCTCACAAGAACCACCCGAAACTCTACAATCAATATGTTATATGAACTTTAATGCCATGCACGAAGGGCTCATAAGCAAGATGCTTCAAGAGTATGTACTATGAAGTAAACCAAGTATATAATACTGCCATATTATTTTATTATTAGTGTAGTTTGTATTTCTTATTTATTGTATCTCCTCCCCCCCTTTCTGCCTTTAAATAAATGTGTACATTTTGTCAAATCTCAAGTCTAATAAATCAATCTTAAAGAATTGAATTATTTTTATTCCTTTGCAAACCTGTTATTTTCCTTCAATAACAACACTGAAAAAATGTAGCCACTCATCGCATACCCATAAATAATTCTGTCTTTAAAGTCATTTTGACATTTATTTATTTAATTCATGTACAGTAAATTAACTTTAGAACTTTTGTTGATTGATGACAATAGAAACATACTGTGTCGATAAAAGTTACATTTGGAATGATGTTTGCAGCTTTGTCTTTCAATCCCCTGGTTCATATCAAAGGTTTTAAACAGACTATAAAGAAGTCTCTCAGACTCATATAAACATGACGCACACAACATCAGCGTAGGCATTCCATGAGACCTCGAAGCAGTGATGTATAGTGCGACAAATCGTTTTTAATGTTGATCCCGTCAGACGGTCAGCAGACTATCAATGCTGCGAAAAAGCACTCGCGTGTAGCGCCGGCCAGTCTGTAGCAGGCTTATATATTTTTATCACATGCGGCAAAAGCATAGTGCTTTTGCATGTAATAATTTTTTAAAACTGTTATACTATATACTGAACACTTTCTATAAGTGGTGAAAAAAATCTCCATTATTTTTTTTTTTTTTTGGCTTGAGGGGTGAGAGGGATAATCTTTACTTTAGTTGTCAATGTTGTTGTCAGTGGCAGACAGGTGGTGTCAGTGGAGGATCATGAGTGGATTTTTTTCATTTCCTATTGGACAAAGTGTTGATGCCCTTTGTCTGGATTCACCCTGTCAAACTAAAAATATATTAATTTGCTATATTAAATATAACCATATGTTTGCAGTTCTGAATATTGTGGTCTAAAACCCATAATCCTTTTTTACCACCCAGGGGTTTCATTTTAGGTCCCAGATGGAGGCCCTAATTGGCTCCTTGGTTTAGAACCCTTGTTGGACCCTTCTCGGAAAATTACTCTATACCACTGATCTTAGGCCACAGGTGGGCAAAGTGCGGTCCGACAGTGATCATTTTGTGGCCCGCAAAAATGAATTAAAAAGCCTATGTGTGCAGCCTGCCAAGCAACACTGGCTAGAAAACACCTTTTTTTTTTTTACAATCCGACACCGATCATATGTAAAAAGTAACATTAAACTGTGAATAAAGTGGTGTAAAACCAGAGTTTGGACGTTTTTGGAAGGTCACTGGAAACATCAAAAGTTTGGGTGTGGCCCTCGGTGTTAAATCAAAAATTCACTTCAGTCCTCCGACCGATTTTGAACACAGTGATAGCATTGACACCAAAAAAATACATAGAGAATTGTATTGATATGCTAATAATCAAGTATTCTCCACAGATCGAGAAACAATTTTCCAATATTCCAGCGACCTGTAATAACTTAATAAAGCGTTTGATATTTAACGTGTACTGATATGAACTAGAAATTAATTCAAAAATACTGCATATAGATAGATATTTAAAGAGAGCCTTTAGCCATTCATAATTCACCGTCGGCTAGGGTAATTGACTGGCATTTTGCTTGGATACTTCCATCTTCTATTTTGTCCTATTGACCTACAAAGTATATCGCATTGCTGGACATTCAACTTTTATCATGCACCAAAAGAGTCAATTTTAAATATACTTCACATGCTTAAGTTTTAGGCCCAAA